ATGTTGGATTAGCCCATTCGATTGTTCAGAGGCACCAGGCACTGTTGATGATGATCGGTGTGGGTTTCATTCCTTGGGGGCTCGTCAATTCCCCACTAGTTGAATGCATTTTTAAATGCGGTGGAATTGTTTGAGATAACCGCACACCTTCAGTCTGGGACTTCAAACTCTTAATCCTGAGCTACACGGTCGCGGTTCGAGTCCCGACAGGGGCACAAAACTCACGCACCGCCTACGAGTCCCCTAAAAGACGAAACAGCTATCCACTGCTCTTTGTCGATTGTTACAAACATTTCCATCGCATTTAAATACATTCAAATAGTGGGGAATAACAATTTCCCAAGGACTGAAACCCACATCAAGAGTACCTGGTCTGCGAACAAACTCTACATTCCTGTGTGTGTCCCACCCCACCCCGTGCGATTTGTGACCCGGAACCTCCTCCCATGTGTTTTCTATGTGAAAAACCTTGCACACCTTGCTACTAGGGTTAAGACTGTCTGTGGTTAACGTGTGTTTTACACTGGCATCTTGAATAAGTCTGTTCGGACCGTGGGCGTGGTAGGCATAGATTGATTCAAGAACAACGAATTCAATTTATGATTGACCTTCGTTCGTCCGCAGCCTCTCAACGCGTGGGTCGATATTTTCCAAAGGTGGTGGTGCCAAATATAATGGGGTGACATTCAAGTCACATGATAATATAATATTATATATATATATATAATATAATGGTGACCAATAGGTTTTCCCGTACTTAGTCCCAGTTCACGAAGATGTACATATCACCATACACTGCATTTCTTGTTCTTCATCAACGATCTAACTATTTCCCAGAGACTCCAGTTTATCCTTACCCCCAAGAATATACATTTTAAGTAATATTTATCAGTATTTATAGCAGTTTCATCTAGCACGTTTTAAAGCAACAATGTTACATACCTACCAATTGGTTGCTTCAAACAACTTATTCATAAAAGTAATCTATTCTCCCGCAGTCACTTTCTGCTCGGGATTAGATCGATAAAATGCGAAATTCTCAGTTTTTTATAAGGTTTAGTTAATTCTATGGATTACNTTGATAGATTCAGCAAAATACTTTACAATCAGTGATCACTTAAGAAGAGCCCTTAGCTGGGGCTTTCAAAAAACAAAAGAAGAAATCTTTTCATCCTAGTTATGCATTAGAATATGTAGTGAGATAAAATTATTGATTTACTCACATTTAAACTTTACTATTTAATGCTTGATCAATTATTACAATCAATTGGTATCATTGGACAGGAACATTAGTAGCTAACTGAAGGCGATAATGCTGTCCCAGTTATCCAATTACCTAAAAAAATTATTTATTTATTTATCCAAAAAACGTAAATACAAAGTCATTGTGAGTTTGGGAATTTATCGGGGATAAATTTATTAGCTCAGAGAATTCGGATTGATCGGTTTCGTTGGCCCGGGGCACATATTGCGTACGTTCAACTGATATCCAGCGCACCGCGCTTTATTCGCTCTAGCCACTCCGAGGGCGGAGGAAACCCCGTTGAGGTCAATAGATGACGTGGAAGCGAAGTGCACGGACCGATTAGGTGCAGCGAATATTTTCCATCTTCCGGGGTTGCGGTTCGAAAATTTCTGTAACTGGTTTGTTGGACGAAACGATATCAGTAGCGTTCCTTTTTTTGTCAATTCTTATCAGATCAGAATGCTTGAAACGGGATGTATGCACAGTTAGATCGTGTGTTTATCAAAGAAATTCACTTTCTTTGCCTCCCTCAAATTAGGCCCAATCCCTGTCGACCTTACACATTATCCGTTGCGTTTTATGTATTCCGAGCTTGATGATGGAGTATTAAGTTCGAGTAGAAAGAAGACAAAATGCCTCATCAGTAAAGCAACGGAAATGTGTACTGGAGAGAGTTATCTGCTATCCGCTTCGGTCTCATTACCATTGTGAATGTACGGACTCGATTGAAGAGTGAATGGAAATTTTCCGGGTAGAACGTAGGCATACTGGCCATGAGAAAACCGAAAAGGTGGCCAGGTTGTTCCAGTCCGTCTAAATAGGACATAGCATAACCGTTACTTCCGAGTTCGTTGGGGGCACCTTTTGCTATCAAGCGGTAACCAAAACCCGCAATGTTGTAACCAAGACCAGTAGTAGTCCTTTTACCACGACGTACAAACTTTAGGCAACTCAACTCAGTCAACAAACTGGTGTAAATGGAAAATGAAAAAATAGTCTGATCAGCTGTCCTGTGGTTGAGTGAGTAGCATGCCTTCGTTCTGCCCGTTGCGGTCCCCGGTTCGCCATCCCCAGTCGGGTCAGTGGGCTCGCAATGCGGACGAGGCCCAATCAGGAGCCGAAACAGCTGTCCAGCGCTTCCTAGCTTTCAGTTCACGCTTCATTTGCCATAAACACGACGAATTCTCTTTAAAAAATGATACAGTTTAAAGTATACATTTTCCCGTTAGGTTTTAGTCAAAACCCGAAATCCTCTGGTCACGACCTGTAGTCCTTTAGCCTCAACGCACAACTATAAGACATACAGATGTGGGCGAGCCAGATTTAAAAAAAATCGGATTATACTCTGAGAGCAAGGAATGTTGAAACATTTTATCTTTTACAAATGTTGGTGTCGCAAAGTTGGTTAAGGAATGAGGTGTAACCTTCGTATACTACACGCTTTCCAGTTGTATCGGTATCAAATGCAGCAACACATATTGATTGGAGAATGTTTCAGCGATGTGCACCTATGGTCAAACCATTTAGCACATCTCGTATGGATTCAATGTTTTCAGTAAACCGGCTTTTAATGCGCGGTAACATGATAAATTTCACTGTACACCGTGAAAGCCGGCATTTTATTTCACGTTTGTCTTGCTCCGCATTCGACGAATTTTGTGAAATTTCAAATGTGTTGGTATATCAACACGTAAGGAGAACACAAAGTAGCGAACAAGCTCGTTTACGGTGATTCATCTACTGGCCGAATCATTCCAATTTATATCAAACTGTTTATAAGAGAGAGGGGGGAGAAGCCATGACAAGTTGGAAAAGAGATAATCGACATTCCAGTTCTATGACCGGATGATGGTGCTCACACTTTGGTCCTCACATATGCACCCACCGGTTCGGGTCATTAGGGGTGGGTGGGGGATGGTTGTGTTGTGTGTGTGGTGGTGGGTGTTGGCCATGGAAGACCGAGTGTATTCTTACGAATTGTTTTTGCGAGCACCGGGAAGGGCCGGAGGATGATATAGGCGGATTCCGATCGCCTCCGCTGTGGCCAGAATGCAACTCCTAATCCTCTTAGATCGACGGCTACGAACTAAGCAGATAAGTCAAAACGTCTCGATCACATAAACCACACGTGTGTGTGTGTGTGTGTGTGTGTGTGTAGAAGAAGCACCGCGAATGAGCTT